AATATCAATAACGAAGAGACCTTCCTTATTCGCAGTCAGAAACCATCGAATGTGAATGTCAACGCCGAGGCACGTGGCGACTACTTTCCGTTGGTTATGGCTAGCAATTTGAACAAGGCACTCRATGTCTTCAGCGACGCATGCTGTAGCGGAGAATTTCGCATAGACGACCATAACRACGACTTAAATTACATCTATGATAATGATGACGAGGGTGAGGACGAAAATAACGATGACATCGCAAAGACCAATCTCAAGAACAGCAGAAATAGCTACGATGATAAGGGGATTGTAAGAAAAACATCGGTGACCCCACTAGCACCTGTTTCAGTAGGAAGCAATATCCTTCAGCGAGAGACTGTGGATTATGGTTGTGAGGGCTGCACCCGAAAGGGCTGCGAATCTCCCACATCGTCGGCCAATACGGAGGTATTTGATGAAGAAAGAGGTGCTGCGTTTCACCTGTCTTTGTGCGAAGCACAACAACAAYCCGGGGGACAAGGAGAGYTGGAACGAGACGTTCCAGCRTCTGTGATAGCCACAACAAATTGTTCGTCATCATCATTATCATCTCTAATCCAGTCGAAAAGCTTGCTACTACCTCCACCGGTGATGTCCCGAAAGCGACCGAGGCTACCAGAAAAGAATTCAAAAAGAAAGGTTACGACCAACAAATCGGCGCTGCGCTTTTGCGATGCACCAAACCTTTGCTCTATCCACTACACAATCTCACGATGGGACATGACCGACCAAGAAATTCGGAACACTTGGCTGCAGTCGGATGAATTTTTGAAGATTCTGCGACGAGACGAAAGGGTCGCATTGCGTATCGAACAGCAAACGGCGCCGCATCATCTGAAGCACATTTGTACCCGCGGACTCGAGTCTCGTCTACAGCTTCAAGCCCTYCGAAAGCAGTCACATAGATTGATTGGCCTTGAAGAAGTCTTGGTGGAACTCGAAAATCAGTGGGATCGCCACGACTACAATGTTCACAACACAAATACGAAGACCAACAATGATGGAGACAGCAGCAACGATCATCATTGTCGCTATGATTTCGATGCCTTTGCCAAAGTATACGGCAATATCTCGAAAATATGCAAGATCCAGGCCGAAAAGGTGGCCCAGAATGATCGAAAAGAGGTCGAAGATTACCTGAAAGAGGAACCSGAACTAGAGGTGATGAAAAAACAACAGCAAAAACGGGAAGCGAGAAAAACTTTTAGCAACAACACCAACACTAATACCAACAAGAACCAAAAACAAAAAACGGTGACGAGATCTTTCTCCTCGAACTATGTTCGCTCGCCCTCTCGTCCTGAAGCAAAGGACATGTGCTGGTTGTGAATCATGAATCAAGATTCATCCTATTCACTCCTCTTTACGATGACGGACTGGGTTTGTCAACACCAAGAGAMACAYGTTGTAGTTGCGCATGTTAAGAGCTAGTTAAGCTGAATACTTAAATTCAAGAGCAGAATGAAATATGTCACTACAATTTGGATATTGTGAGAAGGAACAAAATTCATACTGTAGTGTGTTAAAGTACGGTAGTACAGATGAARCATTGTAAAACGTACGATACTCCTAAGTCACAGGAGTTGGAAATGAGTTCAAAAAAAATACTACTACTAATAATACGATACTTCCACTGCGAGCGACTGCGAGTACGTACGATACAAACTGGAAACGTTTGGGAGATATGTACTGTATTGGACTCACTCGACTTACACGGGTACCCTTTGATACGATTGTACCGTACGGTGACCCCTGCTCGTACCAGTACCAAAATTGTTTCGATTGAGGGAACATCAGACATCAGGTGTAAAATTGCAAAATTGCTCTCTGAACAAATGCATTGATCTGCTCATAACTACTTGTACTTWCCGTACGGATTATCATTATTATTTGCCATTATCTTTGAAGGGAACGTCATGAACTTCTTCAAACCGGACGACTTTTTGGTTGCACATGCTATTGAATCATTACCCCTTGCATCTTCGTTTCCCTTCTCCAGAAAACTTGCAGGAACAGCATGTGGAGAGCGAATTTGCAGATCGCGATCAGAGGGTGGAGGACAGCAAGTGAAAAGATGGCCTCGTTGAGCACATCTACAGTAATTGCAGCCAAAGAAAGTACGTCATCGTATCTCGTGATTGGAAACGGACCCATTGGAGCCTCCGTGGCAAAGCACTTGGTGGGATTCTTTTCGGAAAATAGGTGCAGTAGCGACACGGACTCAACGAACTCGAAACAGCAGCGTTCCTGCGACAACAATCCAATCGTCACGATTATTGATGGAAGGCTCTCTGGAATGGGTTCAAGCCATGCTGATCGAGCAAGATTGATCCGAGCGTTYGATGCGGAGGGAGACATCGATTGGACCCGATGGAACAAACGTTCGCTCAAAGCCTTTCCGGAAATCGAACGGCTTTGGAACAAACCGACCTTCAACGGCGACAATCTCGACGAGTATAGAAGTACATTTCTGCATAATAGGCATGAAAAAAAGCAGTTCTTCGCGAAATGTGGAGGCCTCTTGGTTGGCGACAAACAGTTTGTGGAACGATCCATGAGGGCAGCGCTAGTGCAATCTACACCATCTTCAACCGAACCRCTGAGGCGAATGTCGCCCCRTCACTGTTGCCAAAAATGGCCATTTCTCAAACCAAAAGCAGGATGCRATGAAGCGGTGTTTGATCCGTCGGGGGGRATAATCGACCCSCTTGCGTTTGTTCGGGCGCAGAACTACGTCACGGAGCACCTGCACGATCATCGATGCCTCCAGGTTCGCCAGGGCATTGCAACCGCGGTTCGCGGGGGTGGGGAGGTGGAACTGGCGTCGGGAGAGACCCTGAAGGCCAGCAAAAAGGTGATCGTTTGCGGTGGYGCCTTTTCAAAGTCGYTGTTGACCTCGAGCGGAATCCTCGGAGAAAGCAGCAGCGGAGACRGCATCRATCGCGTCGGCAGATTGTCACTAAGGGAACGGCTCCGGGCCTCGAAACGGACGGTAGCCCTACTGGAAGTGACCCCCGATGTAGCTCAAGGGATACTCTSTGACATGCCAACAATAAAGTACGCCTTTGGTCTAGAGGGAAATGAAGATGATGTCGGTAACGACGGTGGAATTGGCAGAAGCTACAGCAGCGGCATCACAACCATTGCACATGACCAGAACAAGGTTGAGGCCGGAAGCGTATATGTGCTGCCCCCCGTCGTTTATCCAGAAAAAGGCGGGGGCTGGTTTGTAAAGATTGGGGGTGGCCCCAACGATTTCTTCGCTAACGACTCCCAAAACGAGGAAATCCAGGAGTGGCTTTCCTCCGGGGGAGATCCCGACTGTGTGGMATGGCTGGAGGACCATCTGCGGTCCCTCCTTCCAGAGGTGCCCCTCGGAGCCGCTCATGGCATGGCCTGTGTGACCACTGTGGAGTCACCAACGGGATTTGCGGGCACCGGGGTCGTGGTSGAGGATTCGTTCGACGAGAGCCTGGTGTTGGTTTCTGCCTGTCAGGGGAAGGGGGCTGGCCCGGCCGATGCCGTSGGCTGGGAGATCGCACGGCGCATTGTCTCCCCTTCTTCGTCGAAGGATTGAATCAATCCACACCATCGTCAACTGATACACCCGAGCGCGGCCAGGTCCGATCTTGTATCTTGTTTCTGGTGGAACCGTTTAAGTCTTGATGCATTCAACTCATGCAAGAGGCAACAACGGAGTTCGGTGGTCGGATTCGTTGTAGGACAATCTCAACGGGGCTAGCTAAATCAACAACCGAAGAAATATTCGAAGAATAAACCACCATGCTGTGTGCAATAAAGAATTAGCTAAGTAGTTTGTAGAAGAACGAAAAACAACGTCATAAAGCACGTAGTATAACACCTCTGATTGATCTTTTGTACAGCTGCATTTTGCACCATTCAATGCAAAGTGCTTAAAGGTAATTTTTCAGTTTTTATGGAAATCCTTGTCGGCGGCTTTCGTTGACGTTTATGAATCCATTTATTGATGTCGACTACTACGGAAACGGACCACGCTGGTTTTCTCTACTCTGCAACGACAAAGAAAGGACAGCGTGTCGTCGATCGGGAAATACTAAAGTTTTTTGCTGCACCGCCGAGTCTCAAAGAAATTGCTCCAGCTGGCTACGAGGTGTGGGATTTTCTAACTCGTGGAGAGATCCATAAGAGTCGCATCTTCTTCGGCTCCAGAAGCAACCGGTGTCGCTTTTGGAACTTCGTGGTCCTCGGCACTTTCTTCTGTGTGCGAGTTGTTTCTGCTTTTGGTTTGGTCTTTGTTGTYGTCGTCGTCGTCGTTTGGTTTGTKGATCGCTTCGGCACTCGGTACGTCTGGCTCTTCGGCATTGCTCTTGCTGCTGCTGCTGCCTTCGTTTGGTTTYGCATTCGGTGTTCCTTTCCGCTTGATCATTCCTTCGTTCTCCGGTTCAGTCTCGCTATCGCTYGTAACTATGCTGATTCCGTGTTGCCTGGCGACCATTCGATKAACATGCCTGGCATACAGCCACACCGCTTTCTCGCTGGGGTCTTCTTGCATTTCTCCCCTTTCTTCCGGTTGCAAATAGTCCCACGTTTCGACTGCTTCTTTGGTGTCCTGTTTTTCGTCGTTGTTGCCATCACCGTTACCTTCCCYGTCTTGGATTTCCATCRCCTTGGCGCCACCCTCGTTGTCCCCCGTTCTGACAGCTTCGTCTTCCTCGTCTTGCTGTTGTTCTCGTTGCTCTTGCTCCTCGCCTTCGCCTTCGCTTGTTTTCTTTCGGGCCTCCTCGTCGTAGGCACGCTGTGCTGCTARGGTCACCTTCCGAGTTAGATCCTGCCGACGRTGGACGTCCGGATCGGCCAAGACCCCGGACACACAGACACCGTTCGAAGGGCCTCCGCCCGTTTCGTTCAGGAAGAATCCGGGGTCCAATCCCCGGGCTTGCCGGTGCGCGTAGGCCTCGAGAATGTCCCTCGGAGAAGTGGAAGGATCTTCGTCTTCCTCGGACAAGGAKCCGTCCGATTCCGACTCGCCTGCTTCGCCGGGCGCATCGCTCCGTCTCTGTGCTACCTGCTCGAGCTTCCGCCGCCGCTTTCGTTGCTTCCGCTCGGACGCGTGCCTGCGGGCTTCCATGACCAATCGCTGGGCGTATTCCTTTGCCAGAGTACTCACCACAACGGTGATGTCCCCGGCTTGCCCTGGCGCTACCACTTCCGAGAGAACAGACTTGCGGGTAGCACATCCGACGGGCCGCAGGTGGCGGAAGCGGCTCTTGTTCCGCACGGATGTTGTAATTGTTGGACGTCCCTGTGAATGTAGCTGAAYAGAGATGGCATTGGAGTCGACATTGCCATTTTTATTGCCGATCGCCTTACTATTTCTGTTTGGGTTGTCCTTGTTGTTTAGGTTGTTGCTGTCCGGGGCGTCGTTTGGGTCAGCACCGTTCGATAGACCGCCATTGGCGGTCTTCAAACCATCGGTCTCCGTTTCATTTCCGCTGATTCCGTTCGCTCCGAAATCGATGCTTCCCGAAAGCGGTCGGTGCTGCTCGTGAATGAGACAATGTGCCACAAACTTGGCAATGGCATCGCCCGGAAAGGATGCCTTTCGAAAGGCTTCAAAGCGCGACTGTTCCAACCTCGAAAAGGTGCTCAAAACCTGGGCCATCTGTTTTCCCTCTGCCGTGGCCGTTCTGTGGTGCAGGAAGGAAAATAYGAGTAATGTTGGTACAAAGAAAAGTAAATGTTGCGGAAAAGAACAGAACAGAAAAAAACAAAACAAAACAATWGTCTAATACAATACACAAYGTAGTGCGATCGAACCCGATCGTGGGTTTGAATTGTAAAACGAGCTATCYCAAATCACGATCGTAGAGCWCCTATGGAAGTGTTCACCTCAAATCAACTCAACCGCGTCTTGTCTTGTCTCGGCTTGACTCACATTTCYAGCGGCGACCCATCCTTGGTTTTGCTGCCGCCAATGTTGCCGGAARCATTGTCCGTCTCCTTTGATTTTTTGGACCGCTTGTCCTTCTTTTTTCGACTGCTACGAGTCTTCTTCACGGTCCCCGTCGCCGATCCGCCGCCGACTCCTTCCATTGCACCGGGATCGGTGCCGGCGTTGGCCGACGAGAGKTGGTCGGCGGAACGTTTTCTGGCGGTGCCTCCCATGTCGTTGCTATTCTTCGTTGCTCTCTTTTGTATCGTCTGTACCGTATGTTGCGGTGTGCTGTGCTTGGTCGTCTTTCTTCTTTCTATTGGTTGTGCTAGGTGCTTGCGAGCAGTGGCTTTTACATGCCGATTTCAGCGATGGAAATGGAGTTTTGATGCGGTGCGGTAGGTGCTTGGAGTTTTTGTTTTGGCTGCTTCGACGAAAGGTAAGTTTTTTTCCTCTGCCATTCCCATGGGTTCTGCGAGAACCAGCGTACGGTACTACGGTGCGTGCCGGTAGTAAAGTACTTCATACTTACGGCACCGTACGGTACAGCATTCACATTGAGAAAAGTTCGAGTAAGAGTAAACACATATATTATCTACTAAATKTACCATTGAATCTGTCATGGAATAATTGAATTGGCTGCATCATGTGTGAGGCAATACCACAATCACGAGTAGCTACTAGTGAATAAACTCACTCTTTATAGCAAACACATAATCATACTACAATAGAGAGCATCTTACCATTTCACAGGTTCGTTATGAGCAACAACAAGGAGACTCCTACTACTAGTACTACTACTAGTACAGCTAATTAGACCATCATCAGAACACATACACCACAGCACAAACTTGGTGTATTAGTACTTCTTCTTGAAGTAGTAGTAGTAGTAGCCTGATTTGTTGTTACTAGTAGTAGTAGTACTCCTTCTTCCCCTCGATCAAGGAGCATCCAATCCCTCAAGAACTGGTGGCTTTCTGAATTGAGCTGTTTTTCCTGCACAAAATAACGTGTACTATTGTTGTAGTAGTAGTACTAGAAGTTGGAGTAGTAGCTACTAGTAGTAGCTACTAGTAGTAGCTACTAGTAGTAGTACTAGTAGTAGTACTAGTAGTTGGAGTAGCAGGAGTAGTATTAGATTGCTCTAATTAGGATTGTGAGACTAAAACTAATGAATAAACTGAATTGCTCAAAGGATTCACCACTACACCATGATTCCCTGTGTTGTGCTGATCCTTTCCTTGCAATCGATAGGGAAATCGATTGTAGAAAGGTACATCCAAGCAGTAATGATGGATCATGGATTCAGTTCCTTAGTTCTTCTTGGATCTTGTAGGACTCAGTATCGATTATACTGAGCGACTTTAGAACAGAACTCACAATTGATTAGTTCTGTTCTGAATTCTCCTTCTGAGAACTATATATACATGTGTATGTAGTGACACTTAGTATATACATGTGTATATACTAGTGATGCTTCAGTTTTGTGTAATATATATATGCATATATAGTATAGTATCTAGCACTGGTACAATTGTACTCGTATACTACTACTGGTAGTACTACTATAGCTTTCGATCTATATATATATATATATATATATATATATATATAGTTTTGGTCCTGGGGACTCATGGTTGGATCCATGAGTGATCCTCCGTACTGTTCCTACGGTACTTGTTGCATTTCYGAACTTTTTCACTGTTGAAAAMCCCRGAGGAGAACCCAGTACTAGTAAATCGCATAGAATTCTACGGTATGACTTTTCCAAAGCCCCACTGACACCGCCTTTGCTGTCAATGACAATCTACCAATGTTTGCTGTAGGAATCAACGATAATGCCAACCAATGCTGTAGGAATAAAGGATATTTACTAATCCATTCCTTTTCTTGAGAAAAGATACTGACCAATGACAATGCAAAAATAGAGGGACACCACAATGTGGAGAGAAACCATGACACAGAGACCCAATTTTACACCATGACAACAACCAAGAAACACATGGAGGAGAGACTCCATTCTCATCCCMCAMACACAAGAACACAACACCAGTAAGGGACTTCTTGATCCCATCTCCCTGCAATGACCTATCAAAGGACCAATGCCAACAACTTCAATATATGAACTATGAAGGATCCATCCAACATGAAATCYGAGCACTTGAACTCGTATTTCCCCCGGACTCAACCTTGGAGATCTATAATGGCCCCMTATTCCAGTTCAAACCATTATACCCTGCTAATACCAGCAGCTGTCTCTACTTCCTTAGCAACATCCACACAACAACACTTCCTGATGCTGATAAACTGGTGATGCTATGGGAGCTCCTTAAAGACTTGATCCACCACAATCACTTGTTCCACCAACCACCACCAACCAAACCACATGAAACTCCACAATACCTGTACAACACTATGACAAAGCATTTGAACACATTGACAAGGAGATTGAAGCCTTGAAAGACAGCTTTGCAGACTCACAGACAACCTCAACTGCCCCTCATCAAAAACAACATGAAGACTCACCGGCTAACTCAGGAACAACCTCACAACCACAACTAAAGAAAAATCACTTCCTCCAGCTCATTCAAGATGCAATGGAGGAGACATGGACAACTTGGATGCAGTCAGCACACAATGACTGGACAACCCAACTGGATTCTGTCACATCCACTATCAATGAACTGCAAACAGAACACAAATCCACCATGAGATCCAAGGACAAAGATCTGGAGCAAGCCAAAAGCGCAATCACCCAGCTAGAAKCACAACTCAAACATCAAAGCTTCCTCCTGGAGGGGGAAAACTCCTCAAACATGTAAGGGGTGGCAAACTTGCACACTGTCACAGTTACTCTGAATTAGACCAGAGCTTTGAACTAGCTGATCAACAGCAACAAAGACATGGTCCTCAGGCCTATCAAAAGCACTCAAGAATCTCAAAATGTGGCACCAATGATATGGGCACATCTCCCCATCCACCCTCCTCAAGACCCAGAGAGTTGTAGAAGGCATCCCAAACTTTCCAGCCTTGACACTGTACTACTGCTGTCCCTTCTGTGAAAAGAGCAAAATGACTAAATACTCTGGCAAAAGAAAAGAAAAGAAAAGAAAAGAAAAGACCAAAGACATGATTATCCCAGGACAATCATTCCACATGGTCCTCTCCTTTGTCAGTGGTCCACCCAACCTCATGGGTGTGCTGCTACAACAAAATGCTAAACCACTCCCAACCCTCAAAAAGAGCAGACACAGACACATAGGATTCATAACAATMATTGACGCTGCAACAAGAGTGCTATGGACAATCCCCATTAAATCAAAGGAACCACCAATTCAAGCCATTGACAAGTTCCTCTCAAAACACGGCATCAAAACTACAGATCCCRGGAAAGCAATTGCCACAACTAAACAAGAGGGCTACCTTGCACACTCACTGGCGTTTGCCAACACCATCATAGGCCAGAACTACACACTCTCACCAGAAGAAAAAGAATACTTTCTAGACCTCCTACTCACCAAAYAACTAGTAGACTGTACAATAATGACAGATGGAGGGGGAGAACTGTCCAAATAATCAAAATTCAAGAAGACTGCAGAGACACATGGCTATGATATCATACAAACAGCAACAGACACCTCAGCCCAGAATGGACTCGCTGAACTCCCTCACTGGACACTCAAAGAATGCATCAGATGCCTCCTAGTATTATGCAGCAGGCCTTGGAACAGAATACTGGACAGATGCCCTTTTTCACGCCACATGGCTCTACAACAGGACCTATCACTGACAAAATAGCAAGACATGATTCCAAGGACAAACTACAATACTGTGATAATCCATCTATCAGATCTCCAGCCGCAGCACACCTACTCAAACCATTCACAGAAGGACACAATCACCACCACAGCACTAGTAAAACAGGTCTGTAACCAGTAGAATTAATATTCAAAGACCCCAAACAAATCAACCCCTCCACCATTGTGGAGGAAATTATCAGGGACTCACCAACAAGCTACACATCATCATCAACAGCAAAAGATAACAGCTCAAATCCATTGCACAAAATTCAAACGCCCTGATATCCAGGCACTTATACCAGAGCTAGCAACACTAGATATATCAACAAACATGTTCCTTAAAGAAGGAACAACTCACACACTTCCCCTCACCACTGTAACACACTCCCACCATGGGCTTCAAAACTGGCTCGCACCCTGATATAACCAATGCAGTTGAGCTCATTGCCATACAGGTAGGCACAATTGCACATGCAAGGATTAGMRGTTGGAAGCAAAGGCTATGAGGTACCATAATCACTAAGGCTAACGACCAACCAATCTCACAATGTTATCACAGCTATCCAACATGCTAAAAACACGCACAGACCAACCATCACCTTCACTTTTGGATCTCTTATTACTGGGTTTGCTATGAGCAGAGAAGGGGTCCCTACTCTCCAGGCTGGCCAGCTAAATGTAATTACACACCACCGCCACAGCATAAACCACAACCAAGAGGGACTGGCCTAGCCCTATCAACTCACTGGAGACACTAAACAAACATAAACAAACAGCTTTGCATTGCTAAACTCACCAGAAATAAACTTCAGGGCACAGATAAATGGAATGGATTCCTCCAGTCTGAATGGAAACAGCTCAACAGATACCATCACACAGGAATGCTTGGCAAACCAGTGCAAGCAACACCAGATATGACAATACTGCCATGGGTGTGGACATATCTTGAAAAAGAAAATCCCCTTACTACTACTACTGCTGGYGTAGATGAACCAAAAGCAAGAGGCACAAGCAATGGTGGCAAAAGATATGGCAATGCCGTCACCTTGCAGAAACTTATGCATCATGTGTAGAACAACCAATTCACAGGCTGACCTGGGCACTGTCAGCAGCGCTCAACCTGGTATGTGTAGGCTATGATGTTGGAAACACATTTGCAGAGCCCCCCCCCCCCCCAAGCCCCTTTTCTATGAAAGTCAACACACCCTTCCAGCAGTGGTGGACTGAATGTCTCCATAAACAACCAATTACAGCTGGACAGGTGATTTCAATCATGAAAGCTCTCCAGAGACACCCAGAAGCCCCACAACTGTGGGATAAATACATATCCAACCTACTTACTGCAGACCTAGGCTTTAAACCAACAACACATGAACCATGCCTATTACAAGCATAATAACAATGGCCAAGTAGATGACTTCTTAATAGCTAGTACTAGTAGTACTAATAAGGACCACAAAGTGTGTGACAAAATCATAGACCTTATAAAGCAAAGAATGACTAACCCCCTGAATGTACTGGGGACCATCTGCAAGTTTAACGGAATTCACATAAACCAAACAAGACAGTACAATCATCTACACTGTACCAAATACATTGAGAAAATCTGTGAGCACCATGGATGGACTACTACAACATCTAAAACTTGCAACCGCCCTATCCCAATGAATGAAGAACCTGCATATCAAAAATGCTTTTAACTAGTAGTAGAACATRGACCAACAGATCCCCTGGAAACAATTCAGTTAGAACAAACCATGGGTTTTAGCTACTGCCAGTGCATAGAAGAACTAATCTGCTATGCTTTCATTGTTATATGTAGGATTGACATCTCCATTGCTGTTATAACGCTCACCAGTCAAGAACACTCTCACTCACCAGCAAAAATACAGTACACAGCTGTACGCAAACTTTTCCTCTACTGTCTCCTCTCCACAAAACAGGTGATGAATTTATCAACTTCAAACAAATCAAATCCAGCAAAAACTATAGTGACTCTCTCAGCAAACCTAACTACTACTGGGATGAGAACCACCAAGTTTTACGAGCACACTGATATATTCATGGGCAGACTAAAATCAGCCTATGTGGACAAATCCCTTGCATCCCTGTCAGCTACTCAACCTACCTCAGTAGCTACTGCAAACACCCCCTACAACATCAACAAAATCTTTTGCCCCTCTTGCAGCAGTCTGCAACAGATACGTACGACTGTATCGGAAGTATACGTACGTACTGTAAAGGAAGCATAYGTACATACTGTAAAGGAAGTATACGTACGTACAGTGCTCCCTCGGAATGGATCGACATACCATTCCTACCTACATATCATAATGTAATATTTATATATATAGATCATACGATCCATCATATCGAGGATCGTGAGAGGTCTAAGATACCATTCGAAAATACCTCACGAAGAACAGAGATGTCACGAGTCCGGAACAGAAGAACCTCCATGTAGATTCCCTACCAGGTCTACATGAGGATCTAGTCGGAACTTCGGAATTCTCGTGAACGCGCTKGGTATTCTACGAATAAATCTAATCTTATAATTCAATTTTCATACACACTTAAACACTTACTAAGAGTACACGTATTTCGTGCACAGACTAATTCCTCCTGCTCTCTTCTTCAACCTACTACTACTAGTACTACTACTAGTACTACTACTAGTACTACTACTACTACTACTACTACTAGTACTACTAGTACTACTACTAGTACTACTACTAGTACTACTACTAGTACTGGAAAATGACGACATCATTGACTTGTTATTTGACTGTCTAGACTCTGCAAGTGAGGGGAGGTGTGAGGCAATACCACAATCACAAGTAGTTAGTGAATAAACTCACTCTGCATTATTGTAAACACATAATCATACCAAAATAGAGAGCATCTTCTTACCATTTGACAGGATGATTCACTGATCAAATTCCAATATCAGATTGGGGTTAGGGATACCAGAATTTCCACGAGTTTTTACAGGTGCTTCAAAGATCGCAGAAACTTGGTTTCGATTGACAGCTTCAACGACAGATTTCATAACGTCTCTTGTGTTTCATACTTGTACGTATTGTTTGAATGGGGATATTGGCGACCGGGCTATATTCCTCATCGTACTGGCACCGGTATGCAATCGAATCGTAAATATGGAATGTAGATTGTTAATTTTTTTGAAGAATTMCTAGCAGCACTATTCTGTAGTATTCTAATTCCCATTTAACGAGTTGAGATGATTCAATCCAACCAACAATTAACAATTAACAACCAGCATGCAAAATTGATCTTCCTGAAAAGAGAACCAAAATCAACCAGATTTTTTCTGTGTACGGTAGTCACCTAGGATTATAATTATTTACGAGTCATTCACAATTCACAAGCAAGTCACGTACCGTAGGTACCGTTACTGTGTAAGCTACCAACCAATACCGTATCGTACGAAGGATATAATAACTCTTCTTTCTTGTACCGGATTAACCAGTACAAATGTGTACGAAAAAGGAAGCTGTGATTCGAAATGGAAGACGTCAAATGCATGTATGCTCTCTAGTTATCTAGTTATGATGTAGTTACGTGCATTTACGTTTGTCTCGCAAAAAGAAACACAAAAACGAAAAGAATCACAAAAACGAAAAGAATCACAACCGCCAACACAAACGAATGCGATTGATTATCAGAGAGAAACACCAACCTCGTGGAGGTGCCTTCGCAAAAAGGAGCAYAATGGAAAACACTGAGATGAGAACATCGGAAATCCAGCCTCTCCCACTGCGCGTGGTCTTCAGGACTCTCATCTTTTCCTTCATTTTGTACATCCTCGTGCACGAGACAATCTTTACTCTGGAAATCTCCGAGATACTGGCGAATAATCGAGTTGCTCATGAACCGCAAGATGTCGGCTGTAAAGGTCGAGGTAGCAATCAAGGCGTCGACACTGACAGCATCAAGGAAGGCGATTCCTCGGTCCATCTGGTGCCTGGTTCCAAATCTATCGCCAAGGAAGTTCTTCGAAGCCAACAAATCACACCTGAGATCATTTATGGAAAGAAGCTCGACACTGACATCATCAAGGAAGGTGATTCTTCGGCCCATCTGATGCCTAGCACCGAAACTACTGCCAAGGAAGTTCTTCAAAGCCAACAAATCACACCTGAGATAANCATCAAGGAAGGTGATTCTTCGGCCCATCTGATGCCTAGCACCGAAACTACTGCCAAGGAAGTTCTTCAAAGCCAACAAATCACACCTGAGATAATTTATGGAAAGAAGCTCGACACTGACAGCATCAAGGAAGGTGATTCTTCGGCCCATCTGATGCCTAGCACCGAAACTACTGCCAAGACAGTTGTTCAAAGCCAACAAATCACACCTGAGACCATTGATGAAAAGAAAGGTGAAAATCTCGACGAGAAGGAAGGCAGCAGGGGGAATGGTCCGTCAAGACCCAAGGCAGAAAAAGCATCCGGAGTTGCATCGCCGTCGAAAGAAATCAAAAGCCACGGATCAAGTGCCTTTTGTTTGCTCCTAAAGGATGACAACGATATTCTATCGGAATGGGTCGCCTACCACTATCACGTCTTTAGAATGCGTCGCTTGATTGTTGCACTTGATCCGGACAGCAAAACCTCTCCGTATGAAGTCTTGAAGCCCTTTGCCCACCAGAGCTCATACAAGGGACAGTTCCACCTYGACTTCACAATCTGGAATGATGAGGATTACACCCCAGATTTCTTCCACGGAGAAGGAAAGGACTACTCGAAAATCCCCATCTCAAATGTTAGGGAGATCAACTTTACTGATTTCAAGTTTGATAAAAGAGATCACATCACGTCTGCCTTTTTTAATAATGTTACAATCTCAAGCACTTTTTTGCACAAGAATGAAACYTATAACATGGATCATCAAGATGAGGTCAAAAGTGCTTACCTAAAAGTCAATAACCACCGGTTCCGCCAAAGGAATTTCGTAAGCGAATGTTATCGCCAGATTAAGAAGGAACGTGATATTCGAGAAACGAGGATGCGCAAGGGTCAGCAAGTAGATGTTAACACTGGTATTGTTTCGTGGACCATTCAYASCGACTCGGACGAATTTTTGGTGCCCAATCCATGGATTTCGTCTTACATCGCGAGCAGCAACGGAACTAGCGAACAGGAACAAGTGGACCACCGATACTACTCACAGTTTGTCAATTTTACGGGTTACTCACCGAAAGAGTTGGAAACGATGTATCCCAAGCAACCATCGCGAAATTCCCTTTGGGACTTTTTCCAGGACTATCGTAAAAAAGAAGGCTCTAATCTTGGGGAGTGTCTCTTTATACCCCGCTTAACGTATGGATCGAAAGAGGAAGGTAATAGTGCCTACACCAAAGCATATTTCGACAAGTATGATGGAAGCACGATGATGGCTTCCTGGAATCATAGCAAGCTAGAGTCTCTCCGATGGAAATACCACGAAGAATTCAGTACCGTGAACTTTCCAAAAACGGCCGTGCGCGCCGGCRTGCTGAATCTCGGGCTCAACGCGATCTTTCACGGACCCAAACTTGTCCCAAGCATCCATAGAACCCTGGCCTCTTGCCCGAGGAATTTTGAAAAAATAAACCTCTACCCGACAAAAAAAGTCGCTCATGTACCGCTGGTAGCCGTCCACTATCTTGGCTCCCTAGAGCGCTACCTAGCACGAGCAGATATCCGGCGGAGTGCAAGTCTGCATCAACAGTACAACAYCWATTCGAATTTTGCCTTTGGGGATGAGAACCACGAAGTCGAAAAGAACAAACAGGGCTATGGTCCTTGGTGGATCCAGGGTTGGCTGGACTCATTTGTTGAAACCCACGGGGCCGAGGCTGTACTTTCAATTTTGGGTGAGCCGTTTGCATCCGTGAGTGCGTCACAATGATACTATAGTAGAATAGTTTTGATTTAGCACCATACGTAGTTTTGGCTTGCTCTTRTTTTCCTGTAGGTCTCGTAGCAAGTGTTCTGAAAAGATTACAGTATGAAAGTGATTCTATTGATGGGAGGACGAATAATTTTAAGTCCGACTCTCYGGAAATGCCCTCAGTCACACGGGACCAAAAGTTTTTCATTCCCTAGTATGCACCCACGCTCACCAACTACGACCATTCATTGTTCAATCATGATGAAAACTTGTCGTCGCACMCCATTCGATTTGTAGCGGGATCGAACAGAACAATCCAACAAATTATCGAACGACGATTCAAATCGTTCAACACTCGTATCAGGCATTGCAKACTTACCTTTTTTGAATACAGATTCAACTATTTATTCCTCCTGGGAGTATTGTATTCACAAAGCAAATCTGTCGACCGCGTCTTTCTCTCGGGAACTGGAAAATGAGACATGGACGGGCCAAGGCCGCCCGCAAAACCCTGCGATACTTCGAGCGAGCGGTAAACCTGAAGAGCAGACCCTATTATTCGGTCTTGCTCGACGCCACCTTTTTGATCGCAATGGTTCGAATGACGACGGGCGAGGGTGCGGAATCGTCGGGGGCACAGTGTGGCGGAAGCMCTATTGTTTCCAGAATCGAACGGGTGCTGCAGGTGAACCATCAAAGCGGGGGTTCTGCTTCGTCGAGGGACGACCGATTGGGGAATTTCCACGACAGCAACGGCAGTAACCACAACAATACCAATGCAGATTCCGATCGCAACCACTCGCACTCGCCCCACTACCATTCCAACCACTACGGCGTGCGATTTTTTGTTCCACAAGAAGCCGTCGAGGAACTCGAAACGATCGTTCGGACCTTTCACGATCGATCCGAAACGACCAAGAAGAAAAAGAAAAAGGCCCAGTACGAAGCCAAATCCAGGGTATTTCGAGACGCCCTCGACTGGATCCATCGGAACGGTGGTAAGAAAAAAAGTTCCAGCCACGGCCACCGTGGAGGGGGCMGGTGCGAGGTCCTACCAAAGCTGGAACCACTCGTCAAAACGAACGCGAAAGCGAAAAAGACCCCCCAACACAAGCCAACGGAAGCAACCAACAACACCGGCGACGAAACCGATCAAGCAATGGATCCAGAACAAGAAGAAGCCGACCCAATTGCGGCTTCGGAAGCCGTGCGGCGTCACATCGCACGAGACGACGGGCGCGAAGACAGCAACGGCAACACGATTCAAAACAACAACAGCGTTTCCCGAACCTACATCGTCGCCAGCCAGGAAGAGGASCTGCTGGACGATCTCCGCACGCTTGGRACGGTTCCGATCCTGCGCTGTGCGAATAACGCCTCGGTCCTGATCCTGGAAAATCCCAGCAAAAAGGGACAGAAGCACCAAACGCTGAAGGAATCCTCCAAGTGGAAGGGCTCCCTGCAGCACCCCGCCGAAAGGGCCCTGGTGGACGCGGCGTGGAAGGCCGAAAAGGCAAGGAAGCACGGCCTGAAGACCAGAGTCCTGGGCGGAAGCGGAAACAGCGAACGCGAACCAGCGAGGGGCGCCGGCAAGGCCAAGGGGCCGAACCCGCTGAGCTGCAAAAAGCGCAAGCAGAGTGACACAGCCAGTGGCGGGGTGAGCAAGAGCAAGAAGAGAAGGGAGCGCGCCCAGCGAAACAAGGCCGCCGCGGAAGGAGACGAACACCAATAGTTTTGATAGCTTACTATAGAAAMCCAGCCGATACCGATGCCAAGTGGGTACATGCCCGTCGTCGAAACAGAAGCATCGAATATAATAAAATAACATAGAGTAGTATCATATATGCGATCCCTTAATATCGAACCCTATCCAAACGATTGTACTCCCGTCCTTCACAACGGAATCACAATGATGGGCTGTGAAAGTGTTTACAGGTCATAGCAGCTCACAATATGTGTGTTCGTTTCAGTGACAATCTCATTCGTTTCAAAACGAGCGGAGAGCCCTCTGGAAATCAASATGAGGAAAYAACAWTCTGGCTGATTGTATTATCCACGTTGACCGAGCAAAAACAATAAATGCTCGGTTCGCAGTATGCTCGTACCATAACATCTTTACTATTGTTGAGGTGGTTAAAATACGGCAAGGGTTTGCTGGTTTAAAAACAAAGTGTTCTCTACCACCTTACTCTCTACTTCTTTCAAATACGAGCATCCACTCCTCGCTCTCACAGCCATGGGTTCTGTCCAAAGTTTAGTGTTCCATTCCTTTCATTTCTGATAGTTTTAGCTCCACCTCACACCATCCAAACCGGAACGCCTTCGAGATCCAATGTTCGGGACCATTGCATCCTGTGTTCAGGGTTCAGGGTTCGCAAAACGCTCGACATTGCACCGTTTGAATCTGCAATGGTCTCTTGTTTGTGGTGTGAAAAGCCGCGTAGTCGTTGCATTAAGCAGCTCTCTTTCGGAGAGACGTTTTGGAGCGAACAAAACACGCATTTGGCGTGCGTGAYACCGCATATGTCTTCCGTTCTCGTTCGAATCTTTGGTGGAGGCGGTGCTKTCGGTGTYATTCTGTCTCTATTCTCAGGCTCCGTTGAACCAAGAAATCGTGCTCTTGTCAGCACTATTACTTGGACTGCTTTGGTGTTCTCTTGTCTTCAATTGTTGTGGGTTAGTTTATCTGCTCGCAGTGTACCGCGACCGGTCGTACGTCAATCCATAATCAATGTACAATTCTTCTCCCGCATAGACGTTTCGTTCTAGTAAGAAGGTCACGGTTCTTCCGGCAAGGTCTTCTTCCGTCGCCACGTTGACGTCTCCACCGAGCGGCGGTTCGTTGATCCGGCACAGGGCGGTGGAGGTCTTCGGCAAGACACCCAGAATCCTTAAGAGGGCAAAAAAGGGGACGCTCARCGGCTGGCTGGGATTTCCTCCGCTGCAGTACTCTGGCAAACTTCCGTCGCTGCTGAGTGTGGGATCGATGACAAACTCGTTGTCCGTGAAACGCCAAATGTAGGCCAGRCACTCCGGGTGGTCTCGGATTTTTGAAGCAGCAGAGTGCTGCTGCAACGGCAGTAGGACGCCGGGATAGGTGCCGAGGATTGTCCCCTTYGGCAGGTTTTGGTTGGCAAACAATCCCAGGCCGGCTCCCGGAACGTTCGACTGTTGCACGCGGAGACAGCACTCATCGTCGCTCGGGTCAAGCGGAAGGGCGAGGCCCCCGCGGGGTCGATCGTTCACCGCGACGAATCCAAAGTAGGTTGCCATCGCCGATCCGATCCGCAGCGTCCACAAATCGGCTTCCGTCAGTACCTGGTTTGAAGAGCCCGATGGCGGGCCGAAATCCGTGTCGGAGAAATCGATGGCCGCCAGGCTCTGCGACGACGACCAAAACGACACTGCGTGAGCGCGTGCCGCTTCTGTTGCGGAACCAATCGCGTCGGCATCTGTCCACGATGGGGCATTCTGCARGAGATCGAAGGCCCCCAAGCCAAAGGCATTCGCAGCCCTCAAATAGTTTTTGCTGCCAAGCAGCAATGCAAGCATTAGCATCGGTGCCGATAATCCTTTCATTGTCATTCTTTGAGTGTTTTTCGTATATCCTGCTGCTCTTTTTTTATTCGTTCACTCGATTGTCTGCGGGAGGGCATACCTACTACCGTTGCTTGTAATCGTACGGTGAACAGTAACGTTGAGTGATGTTTGATGGATCGATGACTTTGATGACGTGAGAAAATCCGACGAGAACCGTGCGTTGTTACGTTGTTACGGTACATGCGGTAGACCGAGTAGAGCGTGGAGCGGCTGCAGGCTTGTACCTACTCTGAATACATACAAAGACTAAGAGACTGGACTCGGTATGAAGTATAACACAGATTGTCCCGTTCTATTTTTTTATTTTGGATCTAATGCATTTCTTATTTGTCTAGTTTCATCCTTTCACAACCCATTAGAAACAATCGTTTCTTCGTTCTTCGACCTATGGCTTCGAAATCAATGGGCAAATCGGAAAGGATTGAAACGTCCACGACAGCTATGACAGGCTGTAGATGTTGGCGGTAAGTCGGTGCTTCCAGCAAGCTCCTCATGATGCGACCACGCCATCTCGAATTCCTTCAGTGGACCTGACTGATTGCTTCACTTGCAACGCACTCTTGTTGGTAGAAAAACATGATTGTGACACGCGGTACCTTTTCGTCGGACGTGCCCGTAYATCCATGCTATGCCCTATCGATTGCAAAACCCATCACGAGCTTGCGACGATTCTCGGGAATTGTGGAGCTTTTCGTTCGCCTCCTTCCTTCGATGCTCTACTAGAGCACAGTAATCCTTGATTTCTCAAGCAAAAATTTGACGCCAGCGGTTCTCAAGACASCCCTTACGTGAGAGACAGAGAGGGGGGGAAAGTAGCGAGCCCGTTGGCATCGCTCTATCGMAATATTCGATTGGACTTGTCTCGATTTTTGATGCGTTGCATGTGGCCAATTCCCTTGCATATCCCATTCCCTGGCACCTGCATTCCCCAAAAAAGCAAGCACATGACAAACTAATACTTGCCGTCCGAAACTCCGGTCTCCCACGATGCCCGGCGGGGCATCCTTTGGATTCTCTTCTCCGCTCGGTGTTCGCGCCTTTCTTCTTTGTAGACCTTTTTGGTTCCCGGAATCGGGACGACGCCGAGCAATTTGAGTTCGGGACCACCCAGCAAATTCAGCATGGATTTTTTCTTCTTCCCATCGTTGGTGCTGTCGTCTTCGACCTCGGAGAACTCTGTTTTTACTTCGGAGAACTCTGTTCCGAGCGAAATGCGAGACACAACAGAGGAGTGCGTTCGATGTGAAATGCTCTTTCCTTCATCCGTGTGATCAGGATCTTCGTACCCATAATCAACGGAAGTAGCTGCTGCAGACAACTCCGCGTGGCTGCGCATATCGATGCTATCGTTCGATTGATCATCTCGATCGCATCGTAGAGAAGGCCCCACTGTAATGTTTGAGAAAAAACGGTGTTCAAGCGAAAAAGACGAGGTGAAAACGCCGGACCAGAAAATAGTGAGGACAAACGGTTGTTTGCTCTCGACAACTGCCGGAACAAAAGAAGACAATCGATTTTCCCGTGTACGGTACAAACCACTCTCCAAAGATGGACACAGACATGTTCATATACATTCCTACGAAAATTAGACACAATCCACAAGCCAACGTACCAGATGCCGGATTGCCGGTGCTTTGGTGCGAGAGCTGTTCCTCCTCGGCCTCTCGCTCGTTGGCCGCACGCGAGGGGGTAATGATCTTCTTGCGCTCGCACTCCCGCTTTTTCTTCACCTTCAGTGCCTCTTTCATCAAGCGGGGATCGAGGGTCGCGGTCGCCACACCGGCCTTGACGCCCCGCTTTCCTAGCTTCATTCCAACCTTGCCGGTTTTCAGGGCGATCTTTGTYGTTCCGGCGACACCGCTGACCAGGCCGCTCGCGGTGTTCTTGGCCGTCTTCTTGAGGGCGGCCTTGGATTTTCGGTAGACCGTTCGGTTGCGTTTCTTGATGGCCCGGAGACGCTCCTGCTCGATGAGTTTCTTAACGAGGTCTTCGTCGTGGATCCCCCGCTCGAGCGCGGAGGCCCCCGCCGCCTTGGAGACGGGGAGGTAGACCTCCCGTATGGACTTCGGATCGAAGGTTCCGTTTTCCCACTGACGGGATTGCTCGTTCCAGACCAGCTCGATWGCGGATTCCTTTAGAAATCGCACCTTGGAGGCCCCGTCCGGAGTCCAGGCCTCGAGGCCGCGGTACTCGATGGGTTTCTTCCTTTTGGKTGGTTTCTTGGTATCGCTGCTGGGTACGCTGTTCTCCTTTTGGTGGTCGTTATCCTCGACGCTGCCCAACCCGGCGTTTTGCCCCTCCCCCAGCATGCGCTCGAGTTCTTCTCGCAGTTCTTTTTCGCGCTTTACCGCTTTGGACGCCGTCTTTCGTGCCAGGTCGACCATTTTGTCGTAGTCCTCTCTCTTGTACCAAGACTTGTTGATTTCGCTCTTTGTATAGTCGTTAATGTGCAAACACGTTTGCATTTCGTCGTATTCGTCGAATCGAATGGTAATCTTTCGCTCCGGCAGAGGCAGCAGTCTCGTCTCCTCAACGGCGTTGGTTTGACCCGACGCAGAAGGAACGCCTTCTTCCTCTACGTACTCGAAGAAATCGCTGTCGTACTCGTCGTTGTCATCTTCTTCRTGTATTGTTTCTTCCTCGTAATAGCTCTCCGMGCTRTTGTTGGTGTGCTGGCTCGTCCTTTGGATGTGCTTCTCACCGTTAGCAGAGACCGCGTTGGCGTCTGACCGAGCGATCCAGAGAGCGGTGCTCGACGTTCCGTTGATCGTTGTTGGCACGGGCTGTTTGTGGTTCTGGTGGGTTTGGCTGTGTATCGTTATGGTTTTCGACGTCTTGGCAGACTTTCCATTGACCGATGCCTTCGGTGGCTGAGGAGGATCCTGTTTGTGGTAGGGAGCCACCTGCTGTTTCGTTGTCGCAGTAGCAGTCGCTGACGCTGACGCTGCCGCCGATGGATGTTCGGCCCGTGCAATCGAAGTGTCATTGATGGAATGGTCACTATTCTCGGTGCTTTGGGWACTCGGGGACGACTTCTTGGCGACCGACCTTTTGAACATGCCCATAACCATTGTGCTTATTTGCTACGCTTAGCTCAGCTTGCTTAGCGCTGGTTTGGCTTTGTTTTGCTCTGCTCCTTCTGATCGTTCGGGTTGCCAATAACAAATCAATCAGCACGAGACAAAAGTTTGGGGAAATAGGCAATCTGTAGTTATATTTCCATCGGTACGGTTGCTTGCTARAATCCCTCCCGTCATACAATAGCTTCTTTGATGGTGCGCGTGTCGTGTTGTCGTGTTTTGTTTTGCTTTGTTTGGCTYTTGTTTTAGTCTTTGTATATTGTTCTCGGTGTAGGTGATGATCCTGTCTGTTTGCTCGAGTTTCGGAGGTGACCGGAGATCGATTGACGCAGMAGTGTAAAGACGGCACTTTGAGCGATGGAATTCYTGTAACCTAGTGTGTTGTGTGGGTGGATTTGTGACAAGTTGAGATGTTTTGGTGCAAATTGGCAGTTGTCGTCAATGGATCAGTTTGTTCTTCAATGAGTAGTACTCGTACTTGTAWTTTTACTACGAAGTRCTCGTACTGTAGACAAAAGCGCAAGAGTTGCTATCTACCGTACGATAGATGTTATCGTACTTGAACTGGCACTGATTGAAATGCTGGCACGCACTGCGAACTTGGCTCCGTTCGAGTTCGCAGCAATGGTTTTAAAAATAAAACGTAGTATTGTGACCCATACTACGTACTTTACCCATATCGGTACTACTTCTAGGCATCGAAACTTACGTGGGTGGTGATGCGATGATTTGAATCGTCTGAAAACGAAAATCGATCTGTACGAGGCACTACTTTCGAGTTTTAAGCCTACCTTGTAAAGGACTTTTCTACTGGTTTTCTCTTAATTTTTAAAGTACCAGTCATAAACAAAAGACATTCCATTCGATGATTTTGGTGGGATGAGCAGCAACATTTCTGTAATTTGACAAAAATGTACTTGTACTCATGTCTACAGTATCGTACGCTCCGTGCGTACGTACCGTACGGTACTTTTTTTAAGTTATTCTCTTTTTTCACGGTACGTAAGGTATGATACTGTACCAACGAAAGGAAGAACCTCTCGACGACGATAAAAAAGATGATTTTGAATCGTGTTCTAGACCCTTCCGAATTCCGAATCAACCTTTTTAGCTATTGCCTTCTTACACTGCAGGCGCGCAGCAACTGTAGGTGAACTAACAGACAACAACTAATAGTAGACAGCAAACACAATTGAAATTTTAGTTGTGGTAATGGAGGAAGTACTACTACTTAACAATATCATTTGGTTGGGTAATGGAGGAAGTACTACTACTTAACAATATCTACTACTAAACAAGAATACTATCATTTGGTCGCATGGTGGTGCTGGTGGTGTCCACGTGCCAGCAGCAACAGAAAGAAGATTGTTGTCTGACTACTACTACTACTAGCTATTCTTGTTCAAAGAAGGTCATCTGTTTATAATGTGTAACTAATAATATCTGAGGAAGGGAAGTTCTTCTTTTGTTATTCTTGCCTGCAACCATCAACTTACTACCAGCACCACCAGCACCAACAAGAACAAGCCACCACCAAAAAGCTACTACCAGAATTTCTGGTAACTTTCTGGTAGGTTCCTGGCTACTTTCCTCCTCTGGTAGCTTGATGGTAGTAGTAGTACTAGCTTGATGATAGCTGCAACCTACCACCAGTGTACTAGTACTACTGGGTCTTGCATCAGCATTTTTACTAGTACTAGTAGTACTAGTAGTAGGAGTACTGCTCACTGTACTAGTATTACTAGTAGTACTACTAGTACTCTGCTAGTAGTAGCAGCAGCCCTCTTGCTCAAGGAGGAGCAAAGAATAAAAGTCTTTTTTGGAGGTCCCTACTACTACTAGTAGTAGAAAATATGTGTATAAATCCTGTAGAAATTATGAAATCAAGGGGGGGGGATACTGTCATTTTTGGACAAAATGGATTGGTTTTGATTGAGTGTTCAAAATCTTACTGGGCCTACGCAGGTCCAACCCAAAACTACTATTTGGCTCATCCAGATCTAGGACCAGCACATCTTGCTAAACTGTTCTTTCCGCCATAATACTCAGACCATGGGAATAGCTCTATTTCAAGCATTTCCTCTCAATCTTAGACCCTGCAACAATTCATAGCAATCAATACCTATTTTCAATTATTGCTTGATTGTTCCTTAGACTGTAAAAAAGGACCTACTAGTAGAAGTTAAATTTTATTTGATTTGCTAGGAGTGYATCTTACAACAACAATCATTCAGACCATGGCAATAACAACTGACACCATTGAAGCAGCTGCAAGAGAAGTACTTTGATAGCCAGAAAGAAGGCAGTGGAATTCACAAGATATGTTTAGAACATTCTTCAGAGCATCATGTTTTGGAGCTCCTATCAGTGTCATATCAGATACTTGGAACAGGATAATAAACCATGGACTGATTGATTCTGGGGGAGAACCAAAACATCTCTTCTTGTGGGCTCTAATTCATCTAAAATCTATTCAAGAACTATCAAAGTCCACTGCCCTATAGCTGGATGGCNGACATTCCATTCGATGATTTTGGTGGGATGAGCAGCAACATTTCTGTAATTTGACAAAAATGTACTTGTACTCATGTCTACAGTATCGTACGCTCGGTGCGTACCAAGTACGTACCGTACGGTACTTTTTTTAGGTTACAGTATTCTCTATTGTACGAACGAAAGAACCACTCGACGACGATAAAAAAGATGATTTTGAATCGTGTTCTAGACCCTTCCGAATTCCGAATCAACCTTTTTAGCTATTGCCTTCTTACACTGCAGGCGCGCAGCAACTGTAGGTGAACTAACAGACAACAACTAATAGTAGACAGCAAACACAATTGAAATTTTAGTTGTGGTAATGGAGGAAGTACTACTACTTAACAATATCATTTGGTTGGGTAATGGAGGAAGTACTACTACTTAACAATATCATTTGGTTGGGTAATGGAGGAAGTACTACTACTTAACAATATCATTTGGTTGGGTAATGGAGGAAGTACTACTACTTAACAATATCATTTGGTTGGGTAATGGAGGAAGTACTACTACTTAACAATATCATTTGGTTGGGTAATGGAGGAAGTACTACTACTTAACAATATCATTTGGTTGGGTAATGGAGGAAGTACTACTACTTAACAATATCATTTGGTTGGGTAATGGAGGAAGTACTACTACTTAACAATATCATTTGGTTGGGTAATGGAGGAAGTACTACTACTTAACAATATCATTTGGTTGGGTAATGGAGGAAGTACTACTACTTAACAATATCATTTGGTTGGGTAATGGAGGAAGTACTACTACTTAACAATATCATTTGGTTGGGTAATGGAGGAAGTACTACTACTTAACAATATCATTTGGTTGGGTAATGGAGGAAGTACTACTACTTAACAATATCATTTGGTTGGGTAATGGAGGAAGTACTACTACTTAACAATATCATTTGGTTGGGTAATGGAGGAAGTACTACTACTTAACAATATCATTTGGTTGGGTAATGGAGGAAGTACTACTACTTAACAATATCATTTGGTTGGGTAATGGAGGAAGTACTACTACTTAACAATATCATTTGGTTGGGTAATGGAGGAAGTACTACTACTTAACAATATCATTTGGTTGGGTAATGGAGGAAGTACTACTACTTAACAATATCATTTGGTTGGGTAATGGAGGAAGTACTACTACTTAACAATATCATTTGGTTGGGTAATGGAGGAAGTACTACTACTTAACAATATCATTTGGTTGGGTAATGGAGGAAGTACTACTACTTAACAATATCATTTGGTTGGGTAATGGAGGAAGTACTACTACTTAACAATATCATTTGGTTGGGTAATGGAGGAAGTACTACTACTTAACAATATCATTTGGTTGGGTAATGGAGGAAGTACTACTACTTAACAATATCATTTGGTTGGGTAATGGAGGAAGTACTACTACTTAACAATATCATTTGGTTGGGTAATGGAGGAAGTACTACTACTTAACAATATCATTTGGTTGGGTAATGGAGGAAGTACTACTACTTAACAATATCATTTGGTTGGGTAATGGAGGAAGTACTACTACTTAACAATATCATTTGGTTGGGTAATGGAGGAAGTACTACTACTTAACAATATCATTTGGTTGGGTAATGGAGGAAGTACTACTACTTAACAATATCATTTGGTTGGGTAATGGAGGAAGTACTACTACTTAACAATATCATTTGGTTGGGTAATGGAGGAAGTACTACTACTTAACAATATCATTTGGTTGGGTAATGGAGGAAGTACTACTACTTAACAATATCATTTGGTTGGGTAATGGAGGAAGTACTACTACTTAACAATATCATTTGGTTGGGTAATGGAGGAAGTACTACTACTTAACAATATCATTTGGTTGGGTAATGGAGGAAGTACTACTACTTAACAATATCATTTGGTTGGGTAATGGAGGAAGTACTACTACTTAACAATATCATTTGGTTGGGTAATGGAGGAAGTACTACTACTTAACAATATCATTTGGTTGGGTAATGGAGGAAGTACTACTACTTAACAATATCATTTGGTTGGGTAATGGAGGAAGTACTACTACTTAACAATATCATTTGGTTGGGTAATGGAGGAAGTACTACTACTTAACAATATCATTTGGTTGGGTAATGGAGGAAGTACTACTACTTAACAATATCATTTGGTTGGGTAATGGAGGAAGTACTACTACTTAACAATATCATTTGGTTGGGTAATGGAGGAAGTACTACTACTTAACAATATCATTTGGTTGGGTAATGGAGGAAGTACTACTACTTAACAATATCATTTGGTTGGGTAATGGAGGAAGTACTACTACTTAACAATATCATTTGGTTGGGTAATGGAGGAAGTACTACTACTTAACAATATCATTTGGTTGGGTAATGGAGGAAGTACTACTACTTAACAATATCATTTGGTTGGGTAATGGAGGAAGTACTACTACTTAACAATATCATTTGGTTGGGTAATGGAGGAAGTACTACTACTTAACAATATCATTTGGTTGGGTAATGGAGGAAGTACTACTACTTAACAATATCATTTGGTTGGGTAATGGAGGAAGTACTACTACTTAACAATATCATTTGGTTGGGTAATGGAGGAAGTACTACTACTTAACAATATCATTTGGTTGGGTAATGGAGGAAGTACTACTACTTAACAATATCATTTGGTTGGGTAATGGAGGAAGTACTACTACTTAACA